TTCTTCATTATATAAAGCTCATTTACTCATTCAATCTGGTTCTTATTGGTGTTTTGGAAGCTAAGATCAACTATTCTCTCGCGAATGGCATATGGTTTCATAACTCTCTTAAACTTTTTGAGGAGGAAGGTTCCTTCCACAACTTTTGCTGCTCCCAACTTGGGAGAATTTGGATTAAATGGAATGCAACTATGTTGAGTTTTAAACCCCTTCTGATTGAGAATCAAGTCATTTATTGCATTGTGAAGTATGACAATGTGTAGCCTTTTATTATATTTGTTGATTATGCATCAAATATTCATGCTGAAAGATCCCATCTTTAGGATTCCCTAAGGAAGATTAATGGCTCTTCTACTTTTTTTTATTATCCTATGGATGTCTTAGGAGACTTCAATTGTTACAGTCATCATAAAGAACAAGAGGGAGGAAATCCTATTCCTAATAGTTAATTTTAGAAGTTTTATAATATGATGTTCAATACCTCCTTAAAAGAACTTACTTCTGTGGGGCTAAAATTAACTAGTTCAACATTAGAATTGAATCCTTGATTCACATTAAGCTGGATAGAGTTCTTATTAATGATCTTTTGCTAGATTTTTTTCTCTAGGTGCTTCAAAAGTGTAGAAAATTCTGGGTGTTCAGATCACTCGCATTTGATTCTCCACTCTAATCTCACTACAAGTTTCTCCCACAAGTTTCTTTTAAAAAATTGTTGGTGCAGACACCCTCAGTTCTATGGCATAATTCACAATATTTTCTTTAGTTCTCTTGATAAAACCCTATTAACTCCTTTCTTTACAAGCTCAAAACTCTCAAGACCACATTAAAGGCTAAGAATTGAATTTCTTCTACATATCTTCTCATGAGAATTAAAGACCTTGAAAACAAGCAAAGGCAATCTACTACCTCCTTGACCAAGACTCTTTTAATTCTTATCTTAATGTCCATGCTAATGGGTTCATGTTGCTCGTACTTTTGCTTACTCTTTGTGGGCAGATTAGATTATTTAGAGAGGAAAAACAAAATGGATGAAAAAAGGGTAAGATGACCCTACTTTCCTTTATGGGAAAATTAAGGGTAGAATAAATTACAACTTCCTTAAAGAAATCATTACTAATTAACATATCTACCTGAAAGTGCTCTGATGGCACTAGAAAGTTCGTTAGGGATGTTAAGCCCTATAGAACTGGCCCAAGGCTAAATACAGAGGTGGTGAATTGGAAAAGAAGAAACTTTAAGCAAAGTACAAACCAAAATCACCACAAATAAAACAAATGTAGAAATTAAATGCGGAAGCAAATAATAAGAAAGAATACACCGAATTTATAGTGGTTCGGTCAAACCTTGACCTATGTCCACTCCTTGGAGGCACCCTCCAAGTATTGCACTAAACTAAGTGTCTCTCCTTTAGCCCCCACAGCTAGGCGGAGAAGCCCTTACAAAATCACTTCCACCTTCCCCGGTGCGGCGGAGTCGCCGGGTCCTTTGACATCAAAGTGAACTTCTTCTTTGGTGAACTTTCCTCGAGACAAGCCTTGAATCCGACGGTATTAAGATGCAAGCCTGTCGGAGCAACCGTGTGGAATCCCCTCCATACTCCCTTGAGTCCCCCCTCACAGGATCTTCTCCCTCTCAGACTTCACCCGTTCCTCACTCCCTTTCAAGCTCTCTCTTCAAGTATCCCCCACAAGAACGAAGCTACAATGGCTGCCAAAAACACTTACAAAGTGTCATGCCAAGCTTAAATAGAAAAGCTCAAAACAAGCTCATTAATGCAAGTTGCCGACATTATCGTCCAGGACGATAGGTATATTGTCCTAGCCGATCAGTACAAATTTAGCTCATCAGCCCGGGACGATTTTGAACAATCAGAAGAAAATTGGTTAGATCGTCCTGGCCGATATCATGATCGTCCAGGCCGATTAGTTTAAAATCGATTTCAATCGTCCTGATGATCGCCCTGAATTTGAGCTGTCCGATGTAGATCGTCCAGGACATCGTCCCGGCCGATTCGGCGATCGTCCCGAACGATGTGATCGTATCAATCAACCATTAATGCTTTCCAAAGATACCAGATCAATTTAGGCATAATTGAGTTAGATCGGCCTGGACAATATGAATATCGTCCTGACCGATTTCCTAAAACAAAGAATTCCTAAACTGATTATGGCGGCTGATTCTTTCTGAATTGAGACTATCGTCCTGGCCGATACAGGTATCTTGCAGGCCTATCCGCTAATGACGGCTACCTTAATGAGGATGCCCTAATTAGGGTTTCTACTTTTGAACAGATCGTCCCGGCCGATATAAATATCGTCCAGGACGATGTTACCAAAAACAGAAATCCAACATAGAATATTCCAAGTTACAAATCATCCGGTGCCTCACCAAATACAACAGACTCAAGAAAGGAAAAAGAGTACAAACTGACTCAGACCTAGTTTACCCAATCTTGAGCTAATTCCAAATTGTAGTCCGATCGTGTGAACCTGAAATGTCAGTACATAAGGCAGTCGTAGAGAAATAAGAATATTTGCTATCATCAAAATCATAAACCATTGATCCGCAACACTACCTTTCCTAGGCTGATATCTATAAAATTGTTTTATATTACTTTAAAACTCTTTACAAAAACAAAATGGAAACTTTATTTTCCTGCTCTCCTCCTAACAACAAAGTCCCCACTTACCTAATATGTTCTCTTTAGCACCTATCTCTAATAATGAAATCAAAGATGTTTTCTTCACTTTTGGGAGGAATTCTATCCTTGGGCCTAATATCATCACTTTTGCTTTTTACACTTCAATCTGATGCATTATCAAGAATCAATTATGAAATGTTATCAAGCTCTTTTTCAAAATCACCTATCTTTCAAATAAATCAAAGTCAGTGATACTACTTTAAACCAGAAAAATCCCATGTGATGCGCATTTATAACTTCAGAACCATCTCTCTATATGACACTTTTTATAATATAATTGTCAAGATCCTAGCCAACAGAATTAAGCTCGTTATGCCTTTCATTACTCACCAATCCCAATCAGGCTTCATTACTAAGAAACTTTATACTGATAGCATCATTTTCGGAGAGAACTACTATATGAGCTCTAGCATATAACCAAAGAGCCTCCTTTTGTGCCAAATTTGACATTCGCATGGATTTTGACTTACTTTCAAGACCTGACCTTATCATTAAACTTGAGATAAAATGTTATTTAGCTATATTTATTGGGTCGATTAAAGCATGTATTGAAAATGTGTACTTCTTGATCATCTCTATCAATGGGTTTCTAAAAGGTTTCTTCTCACATTCCTCAGGTCTAAGATAAAGATGCCCACTTTCCCCTTATATTTTATGTATAATCATGAATGGTCTCTCCAATATTCTTGAAACTCCCACCTCCAATGATGAATTTAAAGGCATAAATATGGCGCACAAATAAATCTCACACTTTCTATATGCCAATGACTTGCTAGGTTTTTGTGTAAATAAATATAACAACTTATTTACTCTCAAATAAATTTTACACAAATGCTCATCTGGCTTTGACATAAGTCCATCCAAGAGTTCTATTTTGTTCTAAAAAAATACTCTCAATTAAGGTCAACTATGTGATATTTTGGATCTTCAACATATCTGCGCCTTGTTCATGTACCTTTGTGTTCCCATTGCGCCCATAAAGACTTTGATTTTTTCAATTCCAAATATTTTTTAAAAATGCTTCACTATTGTTGGATGTTTGAAGAGCTAGGGCTTTTTTTTGCTTGTAGATTGAAATTTCTAGGATTGTCTATTTAGAGTTGTATTCCTTATTGGATAAGGGAAAGTATCTTACCTAAATCTTGCATTAAATTTCTAAATAAAATATGTGCTATAGTTTATATCATGAAGATATTAATGCCAAGAAACTTCATTTGTTTTCATGGGAAAAGAACTTGTAAGCCTTTGAAATTTAGTTGGCTTTTATTTACCATTGTTCTCTTATATTGAGATTTCTTTCTTATAACACTTTGTTGGCTGAATGGTGGAAAAACATAAATACAATTTCCTTTGGAAGCCTGTTCCAATTCAAGCTTCTAAATATTAGAAAACCATTATTTTAATTGCTAAATATAATCACAACAAAACGGTATTTTAAGATTTATAATAACTGCAACATCTCTTTCTTATGGAATCCTAGGCTTTGTGATAATTCTATATTAAAGATGACAAATTTTTATGGCAATTGGGAGCAAATTCTCTGATATAATATGCAATAAAGCCTAGATTCTTCCTAGCTTTTGGAATTCCCAAATAGGAAATACTGGACTTACATGAATCTATTTCCTGACCTATTTCATGCTCAGGAAAATTGAAGCCTAAACTTAAAGATTTTATTATTTATATAAACTAGCATTGGGAGGTGTTATGAGGGACAGGGGGAGGCAAATTTGGCATAATTGATTTGCTATCATATTTGCATTAATGGCTGTTGTGGTAGGTCTTAAAACTGTTGATGTCCTGATCATTAGAAACATTCATGTGAATCCTATTTGTGAATTATGCAATACTTGTTCTGAGAATGAGAATGTGATGTCTCCTTTTCAATTTTAACCATCCTCATTGTAATAGTAGACTCCTTTCTAATGAGACTGAACATTAGTTGGATTCTTGACTTTATTTCTTCTCTTGACACTTAGGTTTTGTTTGAAATAGCTTCTTTGTTACTTTATAAAACTGCTATTCAAGAAATTTTTATACTAAAAAGTCATTTTAAAAAGCAGCAAAGAAGCTGTCCACAACGTAGCCTTACTCTTTGGATGTGAAAAATGCTCATCTGATGACAATCTCATGCTACATATGTTACTTATGAAGAGAAAGGAATGTCAAAAAATCTGGCAAAATCAGCTGCTTTAGGACAAAAACAGCTGTGATGGCCAAGTTTTCTACTTGGAAAAATGCTTATGTTATCAACAAACTCGACGCAAAAAAAAAAAAAACTTCAACGGAAAACACCATCTAATAAAAACAAGCACCATAAACCAAGCCATTTTCCATGAGAACTTACCAGTCCTAGGAAGAATAAATGTCAAATCACTCTAGAAACATCCATCAACTTTGTATTTTTCATTTTCTACAACTTTCTTCCTAGAAAATGTCAATTGAGGCATTCCTTTGATATTTCTATAACAGGACAGATGAAAATTAAATATCGCATACAGCCAAATTTTAATTTAAAGGAAAGGAAATCAGCCTGCATGAATGAATGCCTGCTTCAGTAGGTTAGGTTGTTAGCCCATCGCATATTTCTGTGTCCAGCTCCTTGCAGTGGTCTCATATTTTGCCCTGTCTGTCTTGTACATGTGGGCAATTTCTGGAACCAGTGGGTCATCTGGGTTCGGGTCGGTAAGCAGAGAACAGATCGACAGCAGAACCTAAGAAAAGGACAGAAAAATCTTCCCAATTGTTCAAATTTAAGGTATAATAGCATACATCAAAATAGAATTTCATTTGTTTGGCCAAACTGCGATTAAATAAGCAACAAATTAAGTTCGTCCAAAAAAGCTATGTTGGATTTTCATTGCATATGATAATTCAACTAATGTAATAACATCAAGCCTTTATCCCACTACGTGGGGTCGGCTAGATGAATCCTTTTTCGCCATTGTGTCATGTTAAAAGTCAAATTCTCATTTAAATCTAATAAAGAAAGATCATTTCTAATATTTTCTAACTCCATATATTCCGTTTTAGATCTACTCAAGCGAACACCTTTAGACTCTAAGGTTGACCTCCATAATTCAAGTTTACCTTCAACTCCCTCTCTAGTCTTATCGACAAGAAGAATATCATAGCAAAAAGCATACACCAAGGTACATCCTCTTGCAAATGTCTAGTGCAAACATCCATAACTAAAGAAAAAAGATATGGACTTAAGGCTGATCCTTGATGTAATCCAACTGAAATAGAAAAATACTTGGTCAAACCACCTTGTGTTTGAACACAAGTAATAGCTCATGCATACATATATTTACCCTTAAATTTAATTAAAAAATTAAATTATTTTTAAAAATATTAATAATTATTCGAGCCGGCTCACAAGCTCACTCGGCTCAAGCTTGAACTCGAAAGCTCAATAAGCTCGGCTCTCGAGCCAATAAACAAGTCGAGCTCGAGCCGGCTCATGCCCCTACTCCTAACCAGGTCATCAGAAGGCCGACATATTATGGGACCAAACCATCTAAGACGACCCTCTCTAATCTTTATTTTTCACTAGAACTACTCAAACCTTTTCACATATATGCTCGTTTCGTATTCAATCTCTAAGAGTAAAGCCACTCATCCACCTGAGCATGCTCATCTCTACAACACCTAACTTAAGTTCTATTTTAATGGCAAATATTCTATGCCATAAAACATTGCCCGTCTCAACACCATCTTATGAATAATTCAACTAATGCATATAAAAAAACACATGGTCTACTCATAGTCAACATTGAAATATTAGCAACAATTTTAAGGATACTTATGGCTGAATAAAATAAGAGTCAGCTTTGTATACTCAAGCAAGAGCAGTATTAATGCTTTTAATAGTGGAGGAAGCGGATTTATAAATAAATACTAATCATGCATTCAAAAATAAAATAAAAAGATTTAGATACTGCAGATTTTTAACCTTTGAAATGGTTAAAGCAGGGCTCCATTGTTCCTTTAGGATGTCTAGGCAAATACTCCCATTGCTATTAATATTTGGATGGAAGACCTTTGTCCTGAAAGCTACCTGCAATATTCCAATTAAAAGTTATAGCACATTTCATACTTGAGTCATCATCAGGCCCCATATGATTTCAAAACATTAATGTTTTACCACAAAACAAGATATAAATCTAAGATGACCAAATTGTTGCCCAACACAATTAAGATCTCATTGCAGGATAAAACAAAAAATATATATTTGATGAGGCTGGAACAATTCCTTTAGTTTAGTATCAAATTAGTATCAAGCAAACAAAATCTAAGATGTAGTGGAAGCATTTATCCAACGAAGGAATAGCAATTGCATAATATAACGTTCACTGAGATAGGATGGTGGAAGGGAATATTTTGTCTCTAACTTTTATTAACTTGTGATATGCTCACTTCAGCAGAGAGGCGCAAAACCAGGAGATGCAAATATAGCAAATCTCAAATCACTTTGCTAATTCTCCATTTCATTTTTTTTTTATCATCATGGTTTTATAGAGTGCGAGTTTATACAAACTTCAACCTGATCACCAGTGGATCTATAGTAGAGGTCTAAGTGGCATGATCCCCCAAACAAAACATCCCTGGGATTCAAACCAATACTCGGGTGCAGTGTTAAATAAGCAAGTATTCTCACATCATAGATGAATGAGGGCAAAGAAGTTACTCCATAAAACTAGAATTAAGATAGAAACTTGGAATATATATATTCTCTTATAGGCAAATTAATAGCTATCACGATTCATAGGAAGATAGATATTCTACGCATTCAAGAAATTAAATGGTTAAAAAAAAGAATAAGGAAATTGATAGTTTAGAATTTAAATTATGGTATCCATATAAAAGTCATATTAAAAATATAAGTGTGTTTATGGATAAATGTTTGAAGGATAATATTGTAGAAATTAATAAAAATAGAGATAGAATTATAGTTTTCAATATTATTGTTGATGCTAAGATTATTAATATTATAAATTATTATGCTCCATAAGTTTAAATATGTGTCCAAAATTAAAATTTTGAAATGACTAGAAAGAATTAATATAAATGATATCTATTAAAAAAATTGATTGAAGATTTAAATGGACATGTTTGTAGAATAGTATAAGATTTTAAAAACATTCATAGTGGCTACGAATTTAGAGCAACTAATGAATATTGTAGGATCATATTAGATTTTACTCAAGACTTAATGATTTTATAATTGCCAATACCTTATTTAAAAAAAGAGATGAACATCTCATTATTTATAAGAATGGATATAGCAAAACTTAAATTGATTATTTTCTTATAAAAAAAGATATCGTTTAGATTGCAAAGATTGTAAAATTTTTTCGAGTGAAAATTTATTTACCCAGCATCGCTTATTAGTTTTGTACTTTAAGATGAATGGACGAAATACAAAAAATGACGTAAAATATTTTCTTAGGATTAGATAAGAGAATTTAAAAAATGCTAACAAAAATATTTTTGAGAATAAAATTCAAGATATTAAGATTTTGATTACACAGGAGAAAGCTAATATTATATGATGAAAAATTGCTAGTGATATTAAGAATGTTGTAAAATATATGCTTGGAATATCAACAGAAAAATCTAATAATAAAAATAATTGGTGGTGGAATCAAAATGTGTAAGAAAAGGTAAAAAAATAAGAAGTTTTATTATAAAAATTGATTTAAACATACAAGGTCAAAAAATTGGAAAAAATATAAAGAGGCCTATAAAGAGTCTAAGAAAACAATACAACAATAACAAGCCTTTAATCCACTATGTTGGGTCGGCTACATTAATCATTTTTCTCCATTATGTCCTGTTTAGAGTCATTCTCATCTAAATCTAATAAAGAAATGTCATTTCTAACATTTTCTAACCAACCCATTTTAGGTCTACTCTACCTCTCTTGATATAAGCCAAATCTAATGCATTTGCTTTCCTAACTCGGTCATTAAAAGGTCAACATTTTTTGCGACCAAAACATCTTAGGCGACTCTCTCTAACATTATCTTTCATTAGAGCTACTCCAACCTTTTCACGTATATGCTCATTTAGTATCCTGTCTCTAAGAAAAGATAAAAAATAAGAAGTTTTATTATAAAAATTGATTTAAGAAATTAATACATGATATAAAAACTTAAGCTTTTAATTATTTATAAAATAAATTAGATACTAAGAAGGGTGAAAGATATATGTATACACCAAGCAAAGATATAGGTGAAGTAACAATTCAAGTGAAGTACATTAAGGATGAAGATTGAAAAGTATTTTTTTCAGAGGAGGATACACAATATAAGTGAATGAGATATTTCGATAAGCTTTTTAATGAAGACTATAAAAGTACAATTCATTTTAGCAACCTTAACGCCCTAAATAAAAATAGATATTTTTATTTTTATCGTCGTATTAATAAAATATATAAAATATAAGTTAAAGAAGATTTAAAGAAAATGAAGTGTGGAAAAGCCATTGGACCTGATGATATTCAAATAAAGGTGTGAAAATGTTCAGGAGATGAAGAAATTTCTTCGCTTACAAAACTTTTTAATATTTTTTTGAGGACTAAGAAGATGTCAGAATAGTAGAGTATGTCGGATCTTATTTTTAAGAATAAAGATGATGCACAAGAGTGTATGAATTTTAGAGGAATTAAGTTAAAGTGTCATATGTTAAAATTATGGGAGATAGTTATTGAGCATAGATTATGACATGATACTAATCAATTTTGATTCATGACGAATAGGTCTACTATGGAAGTTATACATTTGTTGAGAGGTTTGACAAAGAAATATAGAAAAAGTAAAGAGGATCTATAATATGATATTTATTGATATAGAAAAAGTATATAATTTAGTTTCAAGATAAGTGATTTAGAAAAATCATAGAAAAGATAGGAGTTAATAATACTTATATTCAAGTCATTAAGGATGCATAGGCAGGTGTTGTTACAAGTGTTTAAACACAAGGAGGCTTGACCAAATATTTTTCTATTTTAGTTGGATTACATCAAGGATCAACTTTAAGCCCATATCTTTCTGCTTTAGACATGGATGTTCTTACTAGACATTTGTAAGAGGATGTTCCTTGATGCATGCTTTTTTCCAAATTTGTGAAAATCGAATCAGACAAAAAACTAGAAGCATAGGTTTAGGATTCAATGGTTCGACCGGGTCAAACTGGAGATGAACAAGATGATGTAATAAATAAAAAATTTATTTTAATAAAATTTAAATGATAAAATAATCATATAATAACATAAATTTTTTATTTTACATCATAAAAATTTTATTTTAAAATTTTATTTCAAAATATAAAGCATATATTGTAAACTTAAGAAGTAAGAACTTCAACTTATTTAGTCCCACATCACTTGAGGAACTTCCTATTGGTAATATTTATATATTATATTGTCTTTTGAGTTTAGATGGGGAAACTCATGTGAAGTGACGGAGCCATGTTAAATGCTTAGCTGAATTTTTTTATTTAAAAATTAGGCATTTAAATTTAAATTAATTTGTTAAATTAGAAATATAATTTAATATTTTATTCTTGATGCATTAAATTAATTTGTTTAGTTATTTAAATATTTCAAGAATTGAACCAACCGGTTCAAGAGAATCAGGACCGGTTTGCTAATTGAACCAACGGTTCTAGCCAGTTCATCCCAATTTGATACAAAACCAGTTTGCAAGCTGAACCAGACCGGCCTTTAGACCGATTCATGATTGAACCGATAAAACTTTACTTTTTATTGATGGTATTCTTCTTGTTGATAAGACTAGAGGAGTTGAAAGAAAACTTAAATTATAGAGATCAACCTTAGAGTCTAAAGGTTTTCGTTTGAGTGGATATAAAACTAAATATAGTGAGTGCAATTTTAATAGTAATAGATCTAACGGGGAGATTGTGACTTTGGGTGCTCAATTCAATAAAAAGAGTACACGTTTTAGATATCTCGAGTATATTATTCAAAATGATGGAGAAATAGATGTAGACATTATTAATAGAATTAGAGTTGGATGGCTGAAGTGGAGGATTGCTTCTGGTCTATTATGTGATAGAAAAGTACTCCCGAACCTTAAGGAAAAATTATATAAGATGGTGGTGAGACATGCAATGCTTTATAGCGCAGTATGTTGGCCATTAAAAGAGAAGCATAAATTAAGTGCTGCATTTCTCAATTTCTTTTAGTTGCTTCATAATAATTTTTGTTTTATAAATATTTCCAAGTTAATATTATTTTTCATGAATGGAAAATAATTAACAATAAAACTAAAATCCCCCCCCCCCCCCTAACAGCCTTTTAACCAAGCCCAAATCAACTCCTTTGCCAAGCCCATTTCACCAAACAAGCACCTTAGTCATAAGATGTAATAAAGATTCCATCTCCAAAAATGAAAAAAAAAAAAAAAAAAAACATGCTTATATAACATCTTAAAAATTATAAAGCATAAAAAAATTTCAAAAACTACTCAAATCAATCAAATACAACAAAGAACTTCCAATGGGTAGTTCTTTGTTTATCATATTTAGTGTCCTCGATACTTTTGATTGTTAAAACATAGGAGTAAAAATAAGACTTTTAAACATGCTACTATTTGTAGTATGATCATCCTTGGTTTTTATATGCTTGATAAAAGCTTGGACTATGACAAAAGTTGATTAAACTTAATCCATAAATAAATTTCATGTAATAGATCACAAATTAAGAATTAATAATGTGATCTTGAGTTTATCATATGAAATGATTGGTATAGAAGGACATGAGTTGGACTTTTCTCTGAGAAGACTGACCATTCACATTATATCACCGAGAAGAATGAATGGTGTTGCCGCATGCATGCTTGAGCTATGCAATTTTACCGCGAGATTAAATGGTTGAGAAAACATCCCCTACGTATCTGATTCAAGTTCCAGCCCCTAATAAGAACCAATACATAAGCATATTCTGTTTCCGATTTGAGTTTCTAACTGAAACTAATCGAATGGCAATTATTTAGGTGGTTTGCAAGTGTTCTTTATTATAATTAATTTCATATT